CAACATCCGCGTGGCAGCGCTGGGCAACGACCGCTTGTCAAACGCGCAAAGAACTCTGGATCCGACCTTTCGAGGGACTGGCGCGCTCACTGTGTAAAAACGGCGCGACAGTCTTGTGTGGCGTAGAAGGTCCGAAACATTGAACCTGTCTACACTGTTTGTGTTTCGATTTGAGCCTTTTTTGTGTTTGCATTTGACCCCTGTTTGTGTTTCCAGTTGACCCCTTTGTGTGTTTCGATTTGACCCCTTACCCCTACTGTTCGGGAGGCAGCTGTGCAACTGGACCTCTGCTACCAGTGCCTCTCCCCTGCAACCTTTGATGCTGCCGCATTGAAGACTGCCTGCAGGCGATTCTTGCTTCTCTATGTGGCCTTGGAGCAATCCGTCGGAGAAGCTGAACATCGATGGCGCTTTAAGCCCAAATTCCATCTTTTCCAACGCTGCTGTGAAAGCACGTTGTCGCCGCCGAGTTTGTACTGGACCTACACGGACGAGACGTGGGGTGGGAAGATCGCCCAAATGGGCAAAAGGAGGGGGGGGGAAGAAAGCGGCCCTCAGCCTCAGCAGTAACGTCTTAACCAAGTTCAGAGCACAAAACAAAGTGCCAGAGCTCTGAGTCGCTGCAGGCCTTGCAAGAAAAATGGATCTGCACTCAGGGCGTGCAGCATGCATGCATGGTTGTCACGATCATACGGTTCTGCATATATGGCTGCATGTCACGGCCGTCCATGTGCAGGCTAGCTATAGTTTTTGTTCTCGATTCACTAATATATATACTGCACTCTATATATGTATACATACTTTCTACTGTACTTTCTATATACCTTCCATCGAGCCACCGCTTTTCTTCTGACACTACTGATTTCTAATTGCTATATATGTTTATTATATATATATATATACCATGCTTTTTTATCCTATATTATTTCATGTTTATACATGCACGCATGGTTTTTCATGGTTTTTGCATGATTCGACCTAAGAAGGAACTGCATGCATGCCTGGAGAATTCGCGAGATTGCCACCCAAATCACATCACTTTGCGCTTTGCAAACAATTCTTTAGCAAACAGAACTATGCCCAATTTTTCCCCTTTCGAACAGAAGCTTTGGAAATCGCGATGTCATTCTTTTGCTTTCCAAACGATCTGTTGCAAACAGAACTATTCTCAAAAAATTGTTGCTTCGAACAGAAGCATTGGAAATCGAGATGTCCACGCTCATGGTCCATGAGTAAGGTGTTCTGTCGGCCTGGCCTGTTCGATGGATCATGTATACACCATTAAAAAAAAGCCTTTCTTAAATAAGGTGTAATTCCACGCCGCGTATAACAAAAACCTTGTTTATAATTCTTTTTTAAATAAACACCAATACACCTTAATAATTCTTTTTTAAATTAATTAAGAGGTATTGGAGGTTCTGGGTGGGAGAACACCTCGTGGCGCATCGCCCTTGCGCTTCGAAAGAGCACTCCCTTCCACGACGTCGCCTCCGAGATCATGGTCGACAGCCAGTCATTTCAGGAAACGATGAGCAGGGAGGTCGTAGTGAAACGACCCACGAAAGCACCGCGAAGCTTCGAGCAGCCCTGGCCAGATCGACGAGGAGGACGAGGAGGAAAAGGCCAACAACAAGGCAGAGAGTGGCAGCCGTACCGCCCCAGCAAAGGCAATGGGAAAGGATGGGGACGCGGACGCGGCCGCGGACAGCAACAGTGGCGACAGCAACGCTACCACCGCCAGCACAAAGATGACCGAGATCAGTGGCGTCGCCGGGATGATGATCGCGGTCGTCACTCTGACCAACGCCAGTGGAGGACGTGGAACCACAACGACTCTACACACCGTGAGCATCGCGACCACGAATAGGGACAGCACGGGCCATCCCCTGGGGGTGGACCCGACTATGTGAAAGAACCAGCTTCGCCATCTTTCGCACGCTCTCGGTCACCTTTGCCACGTCACCGCGCTACGCCCCCAGCTGCCGAACCGCGCATCAAAGCCAAGCTGCTCAGTCACCAACAGGTCACGAAGAGGGACCAGAAGATCGCGGCCATCGACTTCAGCTTCTTCGACGGCCTCGGGACCGCCTTTCTCGTGTGCGACAATCACTGCAAGGAACACGGACTTAATTGGCGAGGAGCTTCTTGGGAGATTGACGAAGACCTCGTGAAGCTCGGAGCCAAGCACTTTCCCGACGTCATGACCCGCGGCGACTTTGAGGAAGAGACCGCGGACTCGCTGTCGAAGCTCGTGCAACAGCTGGACCCGTCTCGCTCCGCCCAAGTGATCATTGCTGCCGGACCTCCGTGTCTCGTGAGAATACGGCAAGACGCACCGGGACATGATGGAACCGAGGGGTCCAAGTTCACACGCTTCGCCCAGCTGATCGTGAATCTGGAGAAGTCATGGAACCGCAGCCGAGCCACCCTCCTCGTGGAGAACGTGATCCCCCAGAACCGCGCCGACGTGCGCAAGATCGAGAAGTTGCTCGACGTGCCCGCGGTTGTGCGCGACTCAGCCGATTTCGGCACGATCTCCAGACCGAGAGTTTGGTGGTGTCGGATACCCTGGTCCGAAGTGGCTCATCGCAAAGACTGCCCTCTTTCGCTACGCTGGACCTCCATGCAGGGTATACCCAGAGTGCATTTCGACGTCCCCAAGGATGACACACAGACGTGGGACACCCATGGCCTCGCGCTCCCTCGATGCCTAACCGAGGAGATGAAGCCGCTCCCGTGCCTGACGACACCCTCCGACGACCCCAACGGTCGCACAATTCCATCATCTGCCAGTCGGGTGGACGCAAGACCTACGAGACCACGCTCGACACAAGGCCTTGGCGAACGGATGGCACGCAGGAGCCGCCCGCCTCATTTTCACCATGGCTGTCTTTGCTGCCACAGTCCCGACCCCTACGGCAGAGCTGAACCCGCTCGGCGGCACCGCGATTGACATCACGGCTTCACTGTGGCAAGGCAAGCCCCCGCTTATGGGCCCCGGCCCAGGCGATTACGACGACTTCGACCTCTCCTACCTGGACGACCCGACGGAACATTGGGCACGGTCGCGCATCATGCCACATCCCGATCCGCGACGCCGCTTTGGAGCCTGGTCTTGAACAGTGGTTGGCAATTTGGAGACGGATGCGCCCACACCTACCAGATCTACGACACGCAGTTGCCGAGCAGATCGAAGAGATGGTCGTCGACATGAGCGAACTGACCAGCCAGTGGTTCGCCTCGCTGAAGCCCCACGTCCAGAAAGCGTACTTTAGCCAGCAACGGACATGCTCGCTACAGTTGCCGGTTCTACGCATCGTATGCGAGAGGTTTGGTTGGCAGGACCCCGACATCTTCGACGAGCTCACTCGAGGTTTTCGGCTCCTGGGGCCGATAGCTCCGGGACTTGGTTGGCGCAAACGCAACGACCTCCGCTGCGCCAACCCGCTGGAGTTCAACGACTTTATCGACAAGAACGAACGCTACGTGCGCGACAAACTTCGGAGATCCAGAGTTGACCTGTGTTGGGAACAGATGGCGAACGAGATTGCGGAGGACGTTCGCCTCGGACGCATGGAGGGCCCATTCACGAGCCCGACTTCTTGGCCCAAGAAGGCGGTCCCCCTCGCGTCGCACGCACACGCAAGCAGACTTCTACCAGGCGTGGCCAGTTAACCTGGCACGGGCGAAGAGTGGCCCCAAAGCTGCTGCGTGAGACTTGCCCATCAGGGCCTGGCAGAAGAACTGAAGCTTCCCGGCCAGGCTCGACGCCTCGTTCGGCGGTAGTCTGTCGGCCGTGATGACCGCCACCAGGTCTGCGTCCAGTCGTTGACGATGCGAAGACGTGCCTTGCACCATGACGTAGTCCGTGTGCACCGAGATGTCCACGCCTTGGATGACTTGTGAGTGGGCCGGCGGCTGCTCCTTAGACTGCTTAAAAGAAAAACCTAGTGCACGGCAAAGGCGTTTCGAGTAGTCGAAGGAGGATTGCGCGAGCTTGTCATCCTCGCAGCTGCCAAAGTCGTCGACGAAGTGTAGCGCCGGCGTCAACAAACATGCCCGACAAAGCCATGACATGAGGTCTGCGACGCGGCAATAAGACCATACTGAAGCAACCGAACCAAACATCAAGACTGTATGTCTCCACAAGGTGATGCCATGTGGCGTGGGCAGTACCACCCATGTATGGTCCGGGTCTTCCGCGGCTAGCTGGCGGTAGGCGGACTCGTGGTCCAGAAAGCTTGGCAGATGGATCTACCCTTTTGATCGCGACCGCGAGGCGAACATATGTCGAGACATCGTGGTAAGGTGGAGTATCGGATACTCCCACCGTCGCGTTTGCAAACGACCGCCTCCAGTCTTCAGCTCTGCGTACCTTCGGCTTGTTGTCGGAGCCCACCTGGTGCACTGCGAAGGCGAAGCACGTCGGCTTGTGTGCTTCGGGGGCAGGGACAACTCTGAATGGCGACTGAACGACCAGCTTCGCCATGGCATTGGTCTCATACGATGGAGCCTGCATCACGCCTCGCCGCGAAAGCTGATGTTCCGACCACAACCTCGATCCGTGATCTACGCAGACGCCTTCTTCAACCTCTTTGAGAAGGACTGGAGGCCTTCGGACGAGGACATACCACAGTGGGGAAGAACACCACCAGAGACGCTTCGCAACGGCTGGGGCTTCGTGGCCACTGCCCGCGGGCAAACCTTCTACGCTGCCGGTCGGGTTCCTCACTGGTTTGTTCGAGAATTCGCGAGCCGCAGAGCCTACATATACATGCTTGAGATCGTGGCTCAAATCCTGCCGCTACTCGTCCTGCATGATCGCATAGACCAGCACGTGATCATGTTCGTGGACAACGAACCGGCTCGCCACGCTCTTTCAAAGGGCTTTGGCAAGGACGAGTCGATCAACAGACTGCTCCAGCACAGTTGGCGATACATGGAAGAGATCCAGCTCCGGCCCGCTTGGCAACGGGTCACTTCCTCAGCTAACGTGAGCGACGCAGTTAGTCGCGGTGACCTTCGCCACGCTCGCGCCGAAGGTTGGACCTTGGTCGAGGCTGATTGGGACGCAGTTTTTGAAGGACTTTTGAAGGGCTCTGAACGCTTTAGGGCTTCCGGTGTGCTGTGATGGTGCAGGCGGCACACCTATGGTGGTTCGCACCGCCTCGCATCGATCGCGTCTGAGACGTTTCGATACGATGGCTGAGACCGGTTGCATTTCGCCGCCTGCCGCTACGCTTCCAAAAGTTT